AGTTTTGTTCATTTTTGAAAATTTTATGCGAAATTATAATCATAATCAAAAGTACAACATTCAACAGAAAAATTTAACAAGCAATAACAATATACCCAGATAACAATTATGACATCATTTAAGACATCAACGTGAAATCATTGCTGATTCATTCAGTGATCTCTCTGAGGTACGCATATGTGTTCCCCTTTTGATGAGCAACATGATATCCTTAATGAGTCACACGATGAATTCGTTGAAATCATTGCTGATTCATTCAGTGATGTCACTGTGGCACGCATAAGGGCAAATTTTCGTTAAATGTACATTTGCTGTCCCCAGCTAATTTTATTTTTATTTTTGACCTTTGTTGATAAGTTTTGTATTTATTATATTTAAATACCGCCTTCCTGTTAGGACCCATCGTATTTTTTTTTTAAATTACTTTTTTTATATATGGCAGAAAAACTAGGTGAAATGTCCTGTAACCTAACTGTCCCCAGAGGCAATTTTTTAATTTAAATTATTATATTCTTCTTCTTTGCAGATTTCTTGAAAAATAAATTATTTTTGAACAATGGAAAGTTCTTTTATTCGTATATAAAACTAAAATAGTTTTCTACAAAGTAGTTTAAACAGAAAAAAATATTAAAGTTGACATTCAAAAATCTTGTCTTTTTCCTAACGTCGTCTTCTATGCCGACTGCTTCGAAATAGAGACACGAGATAGAGATACTAGCGTTTTATTTCTAGAGGGCATCCAGTTTAATAGTTCGGCAACAACAAGTGAGCACATGTAAAGTGTGTACATTTTTTTGTAAATATTTTAAAGGTAAGATTTTTTTGCGTACACTTTTTGGTGTCTTTTACAAAACGCTACATACAACTCTTATTTTAGAAGTTAACTTTTTTATTTTCATTTTGTATTATGGCATAGTAGAAATGCCAAACAAATGCCGAAAGATATTTACATTTAACAGTATTTCTGAAAAATAACGTTTGAAAAAGTCAAAAGCAATGTGTCATAAAACGTTCAGGAAGATGCGTTAGGAGGAGAACAATGTTTCATTTCTTCCTTGTGTTCCTTCCCTATTTCAGATTAACCCTATAAGTTTTATTTCTTTAAAGTTTATTTTTGTTATTTATAAACTTATAGAATTTTTTTGCAGTCTATTACACTGTTCTATCACAAAGGAAAAAAAATCGATCAAATTGACCTGCCTGGACAAAATATATATACAAAATGTACATTTAACGAAAATTCGCCCATAAGTGTTGCACTTTTGATGAGCAACGTGAGATCCTTAATGAGTCACACTATGAATTCATTATGAAATCAAAGGGATTTCATTAATGATTTTACTTAAGGGACTAAAAATGCTAAAATGAATTTAAATAGGTAAATATTTATATTCTTAAATAAAATATAAAATATTTAAAACATGTTTTTAATAAAATTTAAAAAAGTAACTTCCCAGGTACTACAACGTGACGAAACCGTGACGATTTGTGTCCAATTGGACACAATGGACACAAATCGTCACGGTTTCGTCACGTTGTGCTACCTGGGTTGCATCTGATTATAATTTTTATACATGTATATATACCTAGCACGTGCTAAGTATAATTCATAAATTAATTATAAAAATATATTTAAAAATACGATAATTTTTAAGCCTTGGTAAGATAAATCCATTCCTAAAACTTGGCAACACTTATGGTATATACCATGCAGAGCTGTTCCGAGTACACGAAAAAAGTACTTGAGTAAAAGTACAAGTACTTTGAAAAAAATGTACTTGAGTACAAAGTACAAAAAAATCCAAAAGTACTCACGAGTACAAATTCAAAGTACAAAGTACTTTTTCCAAAAACTCTTAAAATGTAATTTAGGTTTCAGTATCTAGCAAAAAAAGTTGTTAAAAGTTAAACAACAAAATATCAGGTTTAGGTCACATAGGGATATTTAAAAAAAAAATGCATTTTTATATTTCTTTAATACACGTATTTATTTTTGTTTTGAATATTTTTTTTTCAAATAACCAATTATTTCGATTTTAAACAGAAAAAAATAATATTAAAAAAGATTAACTATTCTTTATTACCTACAGGTATACCTATTCATGCAAGTAATTTATTATATATTTTATTTAATAAATAGCCTAAACATTATTTAACTGCAAGCACGAAATTAAATTAAAGTAACATGCGTTTATGACTGTAAAAACAAGATTGAATGCAGAAGTATAACCTAATTTTTTAAGCGTAGGTACCAAATATAACAAAAATTAATCGAGTAGGTAATCAAATACAAAATAATATTTAAAATCCTACTTACCCCAGTATAACAATAACCAAAACACTTAAAATAATACTAATGCACATTTCGTGTTGCAGAATAATCTCAAATTTCTTAAAAAGAAACGTTACATTATTATCTAATGTAACGTTTTTATGACGGCACTACCAGAGATAAGAAAGGGCACTAACTCTTGTAATATGTAATATCTCTATAAAGTAGGGCACCACAATGATATTTTACCAACTTGCCCATAACGAGGATTTATTCCGAACTGTTAAACTTTAGCTGCTAAAGCATTATAATTATTGCGATAAATTTGAATATGTAGTGCCACTATTATACTAGTGGTTATGTTAACTTAACACAAAGATGCCGAGTACAAAAAGTACTCCAGTACATTAAATGTAGAGTACAACAAAAGTACTCGAGTACATCAAATGTACTCGAGTACAAAAAATGTACTCGAGTACAAAAAATGTACTCGAGTACAATCACTCGTGTCCATTTTTACATTTTTAAATTAAATAAGTACAAGAACTTTTTTTGAAATGTACTCTGGACTGAGTACCGAGTACATAAAAAGTACTTAAAGTACAAAATTTGAATACAAGTACTCGAGTACCGCACAGCTCTGATACCATGGCAACACTGTTATGCACTTGCATAGTTCAGAGAAAAACCTTAAGGTTTCCAGATAACATTTATGACTCATTAAAAAATCACTCAGTGATAATCATCGCGTGAGCTCACAGTGAACTCACTATGACATCAAATGCATTTCTGTGAAATCACCTGGACCTCACCATTAGCTGAATCATTGCTAAGCTCATCCTGAGTTCTTGATAATATCATTTGTGAAATTAATTTCACAAATGATCTCATTAAGAACTAGCTAGTTCTTAATGAGATCATTTACGATAATTTTTAAGCGTGGGTAAGATAAATCCATTCCCAAAACTTGGCCACACTTATGGTATATACCCAGATAACAATTATGACATCATTTAAGACATCAACGTGAAATCATTGCTGATATATTCAGTGATGTCACTGAGGTACCCATATGTGTTCCCCTTTTGACGAGCAACATGATATCCTTAATGAGCCACACGATAAATTGTGACATCAACGTGAAATCATTGCTGATTCATTCAGTGATGTCACTGTGGCACCCATAAGTGTTGCATTTTTGATGAGCAACGTGAGATCCTTAATGAGTCACACGATGAATTCATTATGAAATCAAAGGGAAATCATTAATGATTTTACTTAAGGGACTACACAGCAAACGGAAAAATATAGAAGTGAAATTAATTTCACAAATGATCTCATCAAGAACTCAGGATGAGCTCAGCAATGATTTAGCTAATGAGCTCCAGGTGAGGTCCAGGTGATTTCACAGAAATGCATTTAATGTCATAGTGAGTTCACTGTGAGCTCACGCGATGATTATCACTGAGTGATTTTTTAATGAGTCATAAATGTTATCTGGGTTGTTATTATAATAACTTTATATAATAATAACTTTCAATCTTCTGCGAACCGTTGATTTGTAGCTGCAGCAAAGTCTGGCATTGGAATTTTAATCATTTAAACTTTAATGATTAAAATGCAAATGTCAGACTTAGCTGCAACTACGGGAATTAACATCTTCAAATCAACGGTAAATATTCAATTTTCTTAGTTTCTTTAAATTTTTTAAGGAAGAATGGAAGTAACCTGGGTAAGATAGGGGTAGGTATGTAGGTAGGTAGGTATAACTTGCAAAAAACTTCGAAATTTGGAAAAACACGAGCAAACTAAAAAAATCAAGAATATCCCTCATAATGCGTTTTGAATGTTTTTCAAGAACTAATTTTCATCATTTGATCCTCGATTTGATCATTCAGCGACATGATAATAACGTACTAAAGATGCAAAACATAGTTAAATACAGTAAAAACCAGCAATCCTATTTTATTGAGACATTTAACAGCCAGGAATTATTTTCGAATCTTGATGCTTGGTGATTTTGGTTTTATCTGAAACTTAAATTTGACAACTGAATCACAATCAGGAGGTCAAAATTATGAATAAAACATGTCACAAACGTAAATATCGGTTTAGGTTTAGTTTTCGAAAATTATTACCAAAATGTTATTTTGAAAAAGTGTTCTTTGCTTAGGCCCTCTGGAAGTTTGTTGCTTGTCGCTTATTCAGAATTATTTAAGGAACAATCTTTCACCATCTTATCTTCTTGATCCTAAAAAGAGTGTATTGTCTACAAAAAAAGCTTTAAATGTACTCTTTTGGAAAAAAAATCATATTTTCGTTGCTAAGATTCCAATTCGAAAAATTTGAAAGCCGGTAAGACATAATACTTCATTATTTCAAAGTAAAAACGAGAAAAAAATTATTTTTTTAGAAACGGGGCTTGGATGAAGTTATTGAAATTTTTTACCGTTTAACATATCACCCTGTAGGAAATTTACTTGAAGAACCTTGAGCTTCATAATATTATATATATCATGAATTGCCAGAGGACGGGGCTAGGAGGCATCATAGACCAAAATAAAATCGTTCAAGAAACAAAAAAATTATGTCGTTTTGAAAAAGAACAAACTTTTTGGTCGCGACACATTGAGTGGTGCGCAGTTTATTTTTAGCCCTAAAAACCACTTGAAGATTATTGCACACTATTTTCGGGACACCCTGTATATGTATATGTATTTAATTTTAGGGGCTTGTTAACAAGTGTTCAACATTGCGCTGATTATATTGTTCAATTCGAAAAGCAGGAGCCAATACAAAAATGCTTTAAAAGTTTGGAATATATATTTAAATTAATTATTCAAAGTAGGTTACTATTTTCTAAAGCTACAGGGGGGCATTTTGAAGATAGTTTTAGAAGGGACTTATATAGTGTATTTTCTTCATTATCCAAGATGTTGAAATTTAATGACAGCCACATTATAAATTCACAGGTAACTACTACTCTATTTGATTTTGTGTGAATAATAAATTTTATACGTATATTTTTTAGATTGCACTGCTCTTATCTATCAGCTCTGTATATGAACAACTTACGGATGTTTTGCCTCTTATTGAAGTTGCCAAATTAGCTGGTTCTATGTTGGATAATTTACCAGAAGATTTATCTCCTCTTCTGGTACAATCCAAATTGTCTTGTATTAAAAACTTGGTTAATGGAAAACTATTTCAAGAAGATGGTAATACTTTTTAAATTGTATACATTTTTATATTTAAATAGCAAGTAGCTGGCTAAATTAACATATAAATAAATTATGGTTAAATTAACGATATGTTAATTAAATAATTTTACGTTTTTGTTAGCAATGAGTTATTATTTGGTAATTTTGGGTTTATTTTTTTACTACTTTTTAAACTATTTATTTAACTTAAAAAATTTCGTATTTAAGTTTATTTGAACTATTTGGTAGTAAGTATGGTTGTTTTTAATTTTTAAAGTAAAATGTCGTCTATAAATATTTATATCTTCAAGAGATATTTTATTTTTCTCATAAAGTAGTACATAATACTTTTATATTTTAAACGCGCTTTAAAAATAATAAGAATAAAAGAAAAAATATAAAAAAAATTTGCAATTATTTTCTTCATTTCTTTTAAAATTAAAATACTTTAAACCCTAAATTAATTTCATGTTTTATTAATTGTTTATAAATTTTTCTTATTAACAGTATAGCCCCATCAGCATCATCATACACTCCACTCCCAGAATTTTGTCGCCCAACCGCTATACACCAATTGTTTGCCCCACCTCGCGAAAACCGCTCCTTTCGGTATCGAAGTATTGCCGTCCACGATGGGTTTTTCGTAATGCCGCTCTGCCTTTGTGGAAAATTCAACTGCTCATTCCAAGTGATATGTTGACAGTTGTTGTTTACTTGCTAAAATAGGAAACCGATGCACATAACTTATTTTACCCCACTGAGCGTTTGTCTACATTCTTTATGGAGGTGGCCACTTTGGTTGGTCTGTATGGACTTTTTAAACAAGCTTTGCAGGCGACAAGTGTTTATTGTATTTGGGAACGTGCTTAAGTGAAATTTTTAGATTATAGACGTTCCTTAGTTGCTATTATTTGATTTTAACTTTTTATGTTGTTATTTCATTTAGGTCATGCGATTAATTAATAGTTATTTGTTTTACAAGTGTTGAAAAGCGACTTTTTCATGCGAGTTTTTAAGTTGCCCACGAGGCCGTTAGGCCGAGTGTGCATTAACTCGAGCTTGAAGAAAGCTTTTCTCACAAGTATAACACAATGTTTTTTCTACGACCGTGTTTTGCCTTGCCAATGAAAAGATTCATTTTCTAAGCAACGATGCCATCATGAAAAGTGACTTTTACATGTTGGTCGTAGAAAAATGTATTTATCAGTTTCTATAGGAGTCCCTTAGTCCCTAGTACCACTTTTGCTTCCCTCGCTGATCTTATGGTATGTAGCAGGTGGTAACAGCCAGGTACGGGGGTTCATGTCACATCCACTTATCCGGTCCGTAATAATTTCGCACTTTGGTTTGAACTGTGATTCTTTGGTTATTCTTTATTAAAGTGATTATGCCATGCATTTTAAGAAGCGGTCTGTGCAAGGGTACGAGCGATACATCATTTATCTTATTAACATACAGAGCTGTTCCGAGTACAATGAAAAAGTACTCGAGTACTGAATACAAGTACTCTTATATAAAAGTACTCGAGTACCAAGTACAAGTACAGTACCTTTGTACTCGAGTACCCATACGAGTACAAAGTACCGAGTACACTTTAGTTATAAAATGTTGGGAAAAATGCTAGAGAAATGGGGCGATTAAAAAATGAAATTAGAATTACTAGTGCAAAACTAAACACTAGCCGGCCTATTGCCTTTATCAAATATTGATATTTCGCTTTATGTTAATTATGCCTTAGCTTTATTTTTTAATTTTCTTTTTTGGGAATATTGTCACCTTATTTCTACCAAAATATGAACAAAATTACATTTCATACATAAGTAAAAGCCTTTTGTTCAATGCTCTTTCCTGTGTCTTTTTATTTATTGATTGAGGCTGTCTTAAGGCTGTCGTGTGAGGCAGGCTGGCTGAGGCTGCCAAATTTTCAACACCCACGCACATATTTGCGTATTGAAATTCGCCATTTTAACGTTGTCTGTTTTCTTTTAACAAATTTCCTTGGAACACTTGTAAAACAACAGAATAAAAATGCAGGGATTGTCCATCCAAAGTCTCAAAAGGCACAAGGCCTTAATTCATTTGTACTTCTGTACTGCTTTGGGTTGCCTTGGGGCTGGATTCTACACCCTCAGGTTGGCACTACGTAACCCTGATGTACAATGGAATCGTGATGGACAAATCTCTAACGAGGAATTTAGAGCCAAACAATACAAGTTCTACTCCCCCAACGTAGATTACTCTAAACTGGAAAGCCCAGCTCAAAAATATTAGAGAAATCTATGATACTTAGTATAATATAATGTAATTTTATTGTGTTAAAATAAAAATTTAAATATATTTGCACATATGTGTCCACGCCAACCTCACCGCATAAAAATGTACTCATTGCATACTTTGGATGTACTCGAGTACTTTTACGTGAAAGTACTCGAGTACATTTTTGCAATCTTAAATGTATCAAGTACAAGTATAAGTACATCCAAATTTAAGTACTCGGGACTGAGTACCGAGTACACTGAAAGTACTTAGAGTACAGTGTTTGAGTACTTGTACTCGAGTACCGCACAGCTTTGTTAACATATATACTTTTGTATAAAAATGAATGGCGCCTATTTTTGTTAGAATGGACAAAAGTAATGTGGCGGATTACCAATAAGTTATATCAAAAGTTAAATTAAACCAAAATATATCTAAAAAAATAACTACTCTTAACCGTTGGTTAAAATTAAAGGTAAATATAACGTTATGAAACATCTAACAAAACCTTATTTTTAACTAAGGTAAATTTAGGATATTTTAATAATAAAAAAACAAATATTTATCTTTTAAGTAGTATTACCAATAAGTTTTTTAATTGTTAAATTGTACTAAAAAAAATACCTTTGAATTGACCTTAAGGTAATAGCAACCAGTTGGTAAATTTAAAGGGTTATTTTTTACTTCATAAATACCTATAAAAATTTCAATGTTTCAATTAACTAATTTGTAAAAAACAAGTTTAAAAACAATGTTTTACTTGGATTTTGGTTATTTTATTTAGAATACTAGTTATTTTACCAGTTGTGCTACTTGTGTTGTCCAACTAATTAAAAAAATATATATTACTTTTAACTTGAAGGCTTTAAGTCATCTTACAATTAAAAAATATCATATCATATCAAGGGCTTTAAATCAGAGAGGCGTATTCGCCGAAATGAAAAATTTTACAGGGGAAGATAAAAAACGTTTCAAATCGTTTTTGTAAATATTTTGTAATATTTTTAGACACGCGTTACTTTTGGCGTCTCCCTGATGCCCAAATATGTAGTTTTGTTTAGAATGTATTTAAATGGCTATTGGTTGTAAACTCATCGGCTGAAGGACTACGGTCAATAGCCTTTGAACTTGGTTTTAGTTCAATAAAGCAGTATTATTATTGGCTATTGGTTATAACCTTATAACCATTAGGTACAGGGCCTACCAGAAGTAACGCACCACCTTGAAGGTGTATCAACAGACCTCCAGGAATCCCAATTTTTTTTTTATAAAAATTCTATCTTTATTATTTAAAAAGGTATAAGACCGGAAACATTGATTTTTTAGTAAAAAATAACAGATTAACCTTGTTTCTTTTTATATAGATTGGGCCTAATGTACATAATGTTTAAAGAAATTTTTCATTATGAATTAATGTTTTATCTTATGAGAATAGTATATTATGTATCAAATTTGATAAACGCCATTTTTATCACAAGTTTTAATTAGGCACAAGCGAGCTTGCGAGCTAGTGTTTAATTAAATGAGTTTCTAGAAAAGTTTGTAAACGAGTTGCATACTATATTTTTTCTACGAAAAATAGGTAGGGTGAAGTGGGGTAAGTGCGCGTTTGGTGTAAGTGCACCAATTGGGTTTTAAAAGAAAACAGTTGAGAATAAAAGTTTGTAATTATGGATTTTTTTTGCCAGATATTTTTCCTAAATATTCGAGTTAAATGTAATAACTTTATAACCAATAAGTCATTTTACTTGCGGTAAATTGCAAAAAATTCACAAAACTGTGAGTTTGTTGCACTTGCCCCGTGAATACGTTCGTACTATATGGGAACTAACCGGTGGTGGTGCACTTGCCCCAAATATGGGGCATATATTTTTACAAAAAAAATAGCTGTGGTGGCGTATTACCTTTAACGCAGAGTTTAGATCTGCCATAAGATACACACTAACGGAGTTGTATACATGCCAAAGACTGGACTCTTACCATTGTTCTAAAGAATTATATTAACTATTCAATTTGTGTTTTGCACTTGGGTGGGTGCATTTACCCCACTTCACCCTACTTATATTATGTAAAAATAATTTAAATTAAATATTTGTTTAAAGCGATATCTATAAAAAATAGAGTAACTCGCGTAACTATTTCTAACTTGGAATTACCGACGCGCCAGTTAAAATGTCAAATTTGTATGTGTAAATCAAAATTTATCCCTTGAAAATGGACTAACAACCGTTTAAATGATTATACAGAAGCAGCTTTTCACAGTAAAAGTGGGCACTTTACGGTGGAGTCTCCTCCAGAAATATTTAATGCTTTTAGTTAAATCTAGTTTACTCCCGGCAAAATCAAAAGGTTAGTAAAAACTTGCATATAAACTTTTGAAATAGGTATTGGCGTTAAGAAACTATTTAATACTTTTTATTTTTGTATTAGCCATAAAGCCACAACTTGTCAATGCATATTTAAAAGATCACTTAGTGTCATGGAAACATGTACGATAATGGCCGTTTTAAAGTTGGGAGTAGAAAAAATATATTTTAGTATTTTTACTTTAGCAATTCGCATGCGTTTGGCAACTTGACGTGCAACAATTAATTATCACAATTGGTTAATTTTTATTTCTTGACAGTTAAAATTTAAAATTAGCTTCTTTCATAGCATTTCTGTTAAATATTGTGTTTGGAAAATGAATAAAAAGTCATTTAGCCTGTGTGTGTCAATGTAATTTTAATATTTGTTTAGTGTTTCTTTCTAGACTTAATCTATGGTTTTATTAGGTTCTAACAGGGACTCCCTGTATTTGTTTCTAAATATTTACCCCCTGTATCTTTTAGTAACGATGTTAGTTTTTTAACAAATTTTTGGTACCTATTCCTAGGGTCTGTCATACACCTTCAACGTGGTGCACCACTTTTGTGGCAAACTATATATTTTTGAAATATAGCAACCTTTTCCTAGATTGACTAATTAAAAAAACATATATCCTTAGTAAAACCACAAATCGAACGTAAAATGTAAAAAATTATATTGTTGATATTTTAAAAATATGTAGTAAATTCATAAAATTATAATATTTTAGAATCAAGAAGTGTTGTTTTGGAAATGACATGTAAACATTTAAACTATCATTTAATAAAACATGATGAACCTAAATTATGCACTGAAGTATTAAGTGATATACTCAGTTTTTTGTATAAACAACGTAAAGAAATTGATGAACCTGGTAAAATAAATAATTGTATTCATCATGATGTTGAAATACTTTGCACATCATTACTGGAAGTTTTAATTCAAAATATTTTGTCAGTAATTGACAAAGAAGATAAAGTTATGGTGAGTATTTTTTAAATTATTTACAGTGTAAACTTATATTATATAATTTATATTTTTAAGAATTGTTTATTGGCTTGCCTTATTGGAATTCTACAGCTTTTGGATGAATTTCACTATAAAATACTCTGGGAATTATTACTTGGGCCCCACCAGGATAAAAAACCTTTAAGAGACCTACTAATAAGAGTTTTCATAGTATTTACAAATCTAATTAAAATAAATATATTTTCCCAGGATTGGCTAGTTCTTAAAATGTTAACAAATAATATAATTTTAAAAGCATCTCAGGAGTTTGCACAACCCTTGGCCTTTAAGTTTTTGGATAGCAGATCTGGGTATTTAGATATAGAGGTAACTATATTTTATAATTATTACAAATGAATGTGAAATAATACACATAGATTAACAATATTATACAAGAAACAACTTATACCTAATTGGTATTTATAATAATTTGGTCAAATTCAAAATTTGAAAAAAAAATACAAATATAGTATTAATTGTCGGACAAAATAACTCTTTTAGTTCCACCCTGTTATGTTTGAAAATTTAGCAAAAGTTAAAGAAAAGGGAGTTTGGGGTGGATAAATTCATATATACCATTTTTATTCTAAAGTTAAATCCCAAATTTCAAGATCCTTTAGATTAACCAAATTAAAGATAAGTATTTTACGCTGCACCCGCATTGCGCATGTTTTAGTGTTTATTGTGCACATTATTTTTTTTACCAAAAAATACATTTTATTGATGTCTTAAAAAATATAATTGATAAACAATCATATAGGGAGTCCCAAAATTAACAGGCTAAACTTTGCGAATTCTAGAACCGAAAATATTAAAAAACTTTATATAACCATAGACCGAAAAACCATTGGGTTTTTCAGATACCAGGTGTTAAAAGGGTAGTGCTGAGGATGGTTTTTGTTTAATATTTTGAAAATATTCAATAATAATTAATTAAAGCTTACTAAATCTTTTATGTTTAAAAAGATAAAGTTACTCTTAGCAATATAAAATGGACACAGACTGGAAAAACTAGGGGAGCTAAGGAAAATATTGCCCCAACATTTTGTGTAAGAGTTCTCATTAATTTTTATAACAAAATATAGTAGCCTACAATTTTTATCATTAAAAATATTCCTGTGACAGGAGTCCTATTGTATCAAGTAAAATCCGTTTTAAATAATTACCTATGTTTTGTAGTATATCTCTAAATCTAATCTAAATACTATATTAATTGGTAGCCATGAGAAATTTATTAAGTGTTGTTTATTGCAATATTTTAAATTTGTTATTATTTTATACTTTGTTATTGGTTATTACAGTTAATTGGGTAAAAAAATTTGTTCGTGCCTCTTCTTTCTTGGAATCGTGGTGCCCTATGCAGCTTTGATAAAAAACATTGTTATACAGGCTTTTAGGGACAGAACTTTTACTTATATATAAGTATATATAGGGCGAGCTTTCACGGTGATGATTTTAATATTTGACAAACAAGTAACTTGGTTACAAAGTAAAACGATTTTCCACATTTAAAGAATTTTAAGAGTTTTGTATCCAACATATTGAAAATCGCTGGTAGCGACCTCTAAACACCTTATACGCGAAATTATTTTTTGTCATTCTCTAACAACAAAGTTCAATTTCGGGCACTGGGTCATGAATAACTATATTTTATTTGCGTTTTACAATGAGCACATTATAAAACGCATTTGCATGCGACAATGTGTCATTTTCTGACACAGTTGACATAGGGGATTTAACAAATTTGACAACACTATACTATAGGTAGTTTGTCATTATTTGCAGCACATCATAGTTCTGTAGGCTACAAATTGTAGCACATCATTTCTCTAAATATGTGGTTTTAAACATATTGTTCAAGCGAATTTTCACACCTGAGTTCAAGCTGACATTTGGTATAGTAACGTGCTGCGCGCACTTCAATTGCCTCTCCTGTAAAATTTTATTTTTGGTATAAGGTTCGTTTTCTCAGAGCGCATTACATATGAATTATAATTTGACGTTATTTTCAAAATTTTGACAAATAGAAAAAATAGTAGAAATAACTCATTTTATACTCTTCCATTAAACTTGTCCTCGTGCGAGAAAATCGGTTTATGACATTTGTTCTTAAATATACTATTTTCTATTTGCGTGCGACAATATGTAACTTTCTTGCACAGTTATCATGGTGGCTTTTTTACAAATTTGGCATTACTATTCGTCATTATTATGGAAACGCCTGGTTTTTGTCATTTCTCTAACACTGCCCTTGGTGGTGTAGTAGTCAGTGCTGCGGACTACAAGTCGAGTGGTCGTGGGTTCGAATCCCACATGGGTATGGCTGTTTATTTGTGGTAGAACAGCTTATGCTGAACTTCGCCCATTGATCAATAAATTTAAAAAATGGGGGCACATTTTTTAAGTCAGAAAATGCAGAAACTATCAATTGTTGGTTTTGCTTAGGGACATATTATTATATTTTCACATTTTGTGGAAATATTTGATGTAACTCATAGAACGAAAATATTACCATCACATATTTTTGAAATTTAATTTTGTATAAATGTACCCCATGAAGGGGGTACATTGATACAGACCGGGGGTAGTTTAATACATAAGGTTTTTTTAAAGAAACATTAGAGTTTTTTCACTCTAAACATTTATTTATAACCTAACTTAAGTTATAAAAGTTGGAGAGTAACTTACAAGTTGTAGTTAGAGAGGTTAATTTTAAAATGGAAAAGAGATGCCGTTCTGAGTGTGCCTGCAGTGATATCTGGCATGGGTAGCTTCAAAATAATATCGGTAATGTGCACTGACGCCTCGTCTTTCACATCAGGAAAAACAAACGTACCTGATGGTTTTTTTCTCAGGTATGAAACTTGGAATTCATCTCCATCAAACCTATGAAGAATTTTCCCAACGTAATGCTTGACACTTTTCCTGTTTTCAAATTTGATCAAGTCGAAATCTTCTTCTATTAAATCTGCCGGCTTTGGCTGAATAGGTCCTGTCATTTCGTCATTAGAAATGTTTTCCTTATCAGATGGGCAGAAGTTTGAATCGAAAGATGAATCTTTAGTTTCCAAATCGCCGGAATAACTTGTGGAATCACTTGTTGTTTCAGACAATTTACGTTTATTGATTTTCTTCGCCTTCTTTTCAGATTTGTCAGGACACAATCCTAGCAACTTTCTTGCTGTATTAAGCTCTTTCGCACGCTGCAATTCTAGAAGCCTCTCTTTTTCTGGCGTGTCCGTATATATTCTCGACTTTCACTTTCTTTTCAAAACTGGTGTAATTTTTGGCAATGGCCTAACTGATTCAGGTGTTACATAAGGAGTTTTCGAAGTTGACGGTAATGGTTCAGCAAGTTCAGGTTCCATATTGGCCTCATCATTGGCTATATTATCGTTGATTATTGGCGGTGTTGAATGAATCGGTGCCACTTGTTCCAAAGCTTGGTTTTCGTCCAACTTTTCTGCTTCCCTGGTGTTACTAGCGGACGTGGAAGGCTCTTGAGAATCTATATTTGATGTGGTTTCAGATCGATTTTCGCTAGCATAAATGCTGCAAGGAGCAAAATCCTCTTCTGCGAAGGCTAACTTGTTGAAAGGCCAAATACCGGGTTTACAGAAGGCACTTGTTATATTTTTCGCAGTGAATGACTCGAAGTGAGAATTTTTAGCTAGGGCAGGAATATCATATTTTGATAAAGCCTTTCCAGGATGGTTTATATGCCAGTCATTAAATGCTATTTTTAACTTTGCTTTAAACGGGTCAAAAACAGCCATGTCCAAGGGCTGCATCTTGTGAGATGTGTGTGGAGGGAAAGACAGATAGACTATTCCATTCTCACGTTAATAGATAATTGCTTCAATCGAAATATGAGATTCATGGTTGTCGCAAACTAACAGCACTGGTCTATTTTTGGTGCTATTCATGTGCCGCTGAATATGTTTCAACACCTCCAAAAAAAGCTCAGAATTTATCCAACCAGTTCTCGACGCTAAACCCAAACATCCTTCCGGTGCTCCTGATAAGAAGTGACTCCTATAGTGTACTCTAGGAAATACAAAAATGGGTGGAATCGAGTTTCCTATAGCCGTTATTAAACCCCCAAATGTCACCAGTTTACCTCTTTCAGCAGATACTATTTGGCCGACTTGTCTTTGAACTTTTGCTGCTAGAACTTTGGGTGTATTCAAAACATAATACCTGTCTCATCAAAGTTTATTATTCGGTCTGGAGTGAAATTATATCTTTTAAAAAGTATTTCTAGATTCCTGTAGAAGTCCGACACAGCAGTCCTATTGAAAGAAAATGACCTGGCAGCGCTGGTATTCTCTGGCTTTCTTAAACTCAGATATTTATTCCTGTAGCAAAATCCTGCTGCCCAATCAACGCCAGCAGATTTAGTGACATCCCAAGCCGGAGGATATCGACATCTTAACTTTGCCGCAAATTGATACGCAAGCTTTCGCACCTGGACTAAAGTCAATCCATAATGCATTTTACTGCACATTATTATATATTCGTTAAGTTGTGCTTCTTGAGCTTCAGTAAACACCTGAGGTGAAGAATATTTAGAGGAATATTTTTTTTGCTCTTCATTTTCTGCTTACAATTTTTTTTCCTTCTATTCTGTGCTGCAAAGTGGCTGCTTTTAGCTTATATTTGTCGGCAGCTTTTCTTATTGACAACCTTCCTTCAAGTACGTCGCTTATTGCAGAGTTGATGACATTTTCATCAATGCTGGTTATTTCAGTTTTGTTCTTGTAAGATCGAACCATTTTTCCTAGAGAAAAATTGTATTTTAATATATATTTATTTATATATATATATATATATATATATATATATATATATTTATATATTTATTTGTATTTCTGGGGCACATTGATACGTATCAAATTGCCCCTCCGATACTTGCATCAATGTGCCCCGCTTCGCCATTTTTGAGTAAACACACTGCTACACAAAATCAAAAGAAACCTTATTAAAAATAAATACAAATTTACTTAGTTCGAACTGTGACTTACCTGGGACACCAATCTCAACCACTATCAAGAAAAATACCACCATAAATTACTAAAGGATGCTCAAAACCGATCACGCTCTGCACTGAATGAACCTGACATTGCCGACGGTCGTTGAAATTTACACTTATTTATGGATCTGACTGCCATCTGTGAACGAGTACTAGAACCTCTAAAAGGTTTTCTACTTGTAGTTTTGCTTTGTGTATCAATGTTCCCTTGTATCAATGTGCCCCCATTCCCCCTATATGTAGCTTGTAGGCAAAACATATGGTTTGAGCTGACATTTGGTACAACCTACTACAA